AACTGTCTTGGCAGCCTCTTGGAATTAAACACAATGGGAGAGGCACATGAGAAACTGACAAACTAGGCTTCAGCGAGGAGCAAATAGAACAATAACACTCTTCTCTCGTTGACAAGCATCACCCCAACCTGAAAATAGTTTGTAATTAAAATTGCTGAGTGTCGTAGGGACACCATCTTGGTGTAATGTCACATTTGGTCTCTGGTACTAAGGGCTAGTGTTCAAGTTTGCAAGTAGGCTTATACGCTGCTGTCGTAATTTCTATCTAGGTTCTTATTGTGCCCATCACATGGCATAGAACTGATGGCCTCTTTCTGCCTATTTGTTAGCTTCTCAAACAAATGTTCCTGTTCTACACTGCCCCTTATGCATGGATTGTTCTCCATGAACTGATCCATAAGACCACTACCCTTTCTTCACATCTATCCCTTAAGAAGCACCAGTACTGTGCTACTGATAAGTGGGTTTTATGCTGGAGGTACTGAGATTTATGCTTATTCCAATCTCTTTTGTGAGGAAGTCCTACCAGTGTGAGAGCTTGAACTGTTCATAAAGAAATATTACTGTTTAAAGAGTGAAGGCTAATGCATAATCTACTGTAAACCACTTTCTATTCTGGTTTGACAAACTTGCTGTAAACTCTGTGACCTTACTTTTCAGCAAGACAGGCCTGGTCAACAATAAACTCAAATGCTGACATAACCAAAATACAGTTTAGTTTATATGGAAGTAGCAATGTTACTTCCTGCAAGAGTTTGAAAGAATTGCTGTGCAAAAGGAGTACAGTATGATGTGCTTATTTGTCACACAAGGAAAGTCAGCGTGCAGGCACAAACCTGGTACCGTATAAATTTAAGTTTGTGCCCATTTATGGCGTTTATAGAAAGTACACTAACTAGAGGGTCACACATCTTATTGAGTGTATAGTTCAGCCTGCATAAGCAATGAGAGCAGCATATTAAGATCTTGCCTGTGGTGCAGTCGCAGCTGCAGTATGCCAGAGATATGTCTTCAGCACTAAATGAGCTCTCTGCGGTTTGTAGTCAGTGGAAATCGGCTCTTCCCCATTTTTTCAGTTTTCATCAAAACCAATAGCTTTGCCTATTGATGCATAGAGCATTCCCTGGAATTTTGGAATTTATCAGATGGAGTATTCTAAATGTATCCTGTTGCAGACAGACAAATGCCATTGAGTTTGTAGGACTTTGCTTTGCCCAGCCAAACATTTTTGGTTACAAAAGATAAAATGGGGCATGCAAGTCATGTGGCTGTGTGTAATGTACTGATGAGTTTGGCTTTCCTCCTTGCTGTCTCTGAAAGGCTGGTAAAGAACCAAAATGGAACTGACAGAAGAACTTGCAAACTGATTTAAGTACTTTATTAAGAGAGGAAGGCTGGATTGTGTGGTAAAAGCACTGGCCTGTGTCTCTGGAGATTTGGGTTCAACTTCTGTCTCTGCCAAAGGCTTAACTGTGTGACCTTCAAGCAACTCACTTAATTGCTGTCTGCCTCAATTCTACCACTGCAAAGTGGAGATCATTCTTTTGTATGGTCTAGTTTGATTGTAAGCTCTGTGCTACAGGAACTGTCTCCCAAGTGCATGTATATCACCTAGTACAATGGGGCCCTGATTGCTGCTGGGATTTGTAGGTGCTACTGTAATACAAATTCTAAAGAATGCATAAAGTTAGTAATCAAAGAAGGTACAACGAGATGGGTCAAATGTAGCCATAGCTAGAGCACTGCAGATCTGCAGATATTCACGGACCATGTTTGTGGATCACGGATCGAATGTGGATAGAAATGTTGTATCCGCTCAGGGCTTTAGCCATAATATCCATAAGCTAAAGGGATGTGGCTGTGGCAACTGTAAGTCCCAGCATTCCATGTTTACATTGACCCAGGCATTCTCGTCTTGATCCTTGAGCAGCGTAGACATCACAGCCTATACCTCTGATTCAGAGATGAGGAATCCTAGAAGCTAGAGATGGGAAAGGTCTGTTGGGTCATCCAGTCTGTTTCTGTGCTAGTGCAAGATTGTTCCCCGCTGGCCAGCTTGAGTCTGCTCCATTTGATACAAACTAGGTGTGATCCTTTGGTTCCTGGTAGTTGCCAAAGCATTCTTTTGTCTGGTTAAAGCTTAGATGCCATGTTACTGCATACTGACAATTGATACAAATCACTCTTTGCTGCTAGTTAATACGTTTATGAAAGAAGATAAAGAAACAAATCTACATAACTAACCATTCAGGTATAGGCAGCTATCCAGTGCTTAGCATGTCAGCATAAGCTTGCCCCATGAGTTGTGGTTTTTGAGCGCAGACCAGGATGAAAGTTCCACCCAAAGGTGAGTTATTGAGGGAGGGGTTCTCATTCTCACTTGAGATGGGGAGGTGAGAAGGGAAAACCACTAGGGTTTTATAGTGTAGCCATTCCAGAACTTTCTTAACCATCAGAGAGACCAGACTGCTATAGACACCTGGAAGAGCATATGCATCCATACTTTTATTTTCAGTCACAATGATGTCCTGGGTTTGTTTGGGACATTTAGCAAATGATGGGGAATAGGGCATTTCTGACTTAAGGTTTAGATGCCATAACTTGCTGGGTTTTAAAAAAAAACAATTTAAAGCAACCAAATATTTCACACTTCTGAATGCATGAATTGATAACAGGATCATGGTTTCTGCCTTCCTGCTTCTTGCACTGTTGGACAGCACGGCATCTGTCTTACTGGCTGTGTTAAAGCCAGTTCAATAGACATATCAGTGGCTGCGTTTAGCCTCCTGTTGGTTCCTTCCAGTCCTACACTTCTGTGATTCTTACTAGATCATGAGCAAATGTAGTGAAACCAGAAAGACCGGTAGGCAGTCGATAGTGCAAATTGAAAATCGGCCACCGCTTCCCCTTTTTCACACCTGCTGCCTCATGATGGTCTTGGTTACCGTGCTAAACTCAAGCTATTCTGGTTATTTTATTCTTTGCTTTAATTATTTTTAGATCATTCAAAAATGTTAGGCACCTCACGGAAACAGTCCCTGCCTCTAAGAGTTTATAGTCTACAGTTTAGGTCCAAATCCTTAACACCGCTAAATATCTCTTTGTTAGAACTGCAGTGGAATTTAAGAAAACAGTGACATGCAGTAGAAGTAAGGGATTTCATCTGCAATGTGTTGGAGAGGGAGAAAGAGAACCGGAAACCTAGAACAGGACTGACAGAACAGGCTGGCACAGAAGGAGGGTAGAATACTGTCACAGGCTCATAGCATGAGCAACAAATTGAAACTTAAAACATGTTAGTTTGGTTGCTTGCTGTAGGTGAATGCTATTAAGCATGGAAGACCAAAAAAATTAAAGCAGAAGGATTGGGTGTCAATAAACCTTGACATTGTTTGTCCAAGCCCCCTTTTATGTGTGTCTCTAGTTTCTCAACCCTCTTGCAGATATTTGGTGGGGCCCTAATGGTTTTGCATTAGTGTCAGTTTTTTAGACTTTCACCTACAATGTCAAATGCCTGCCCTGGGTGCCCGATGCAGCTTGTATGATATATTGATGTGATACATATGGCATATTCAGAGTCTACAGAATCAAAGGTTTTATTTTTTTTAAAGAAGTTTCTAACACACACAGTTGTGAAGAAAACCTTCCAAACATGAACCAGGTGTAACTAATGCAATGCTGTTCCCCTCAGTCTGCAGGCATTCTGACTCCATTAATCTGAGTGGAGTGAACTGCCCTGTCTCTCATTAATCCCACTGCAATGCTAGCCTCCAAGCCTAGTGGTGGCACGTGCACATGGTTGCACTACTTATTTAATTGCTGATGGGTGAAATAAAGAAGAGGGCGGGAATTGGGAGTTCCTGCTGGAAGAAAGTAGGACACGAGTGAGAGGGGGAGACAATACTTTGGGGGAAGGGAAGAAATAGTCCTAGTCCTAGGGAGAGTGGTGCTGAATGTGACCGTAAATACTGAACAAGTTGCGATGTTCAGATATTCTGTAAAGGCTGTTTTCTACTCTGATTTCTGTGCAAAACTCCCATTGGTACCAGTGGGAACTCCGTTGTGTATTGAAAGTAGTATGCAGTGCTAGACTCTCGTTTCCTAAACAAAAATGGACTTCATCCCTCTCCACAGAACGAGTTGGACTTCTCTGGCTTACACGGATGTGTAGATGTGTGGGATAGCAACTGTAAGATCTACAATTATATTACACGTTATGGGTTTAACTTAATGTTTATGAGTTGATGCTTATTAGGGAATGGAAAAGAATTATTAGTCTTCTGAGGCAACTGACAAAAAAATGATACGTAAATATAAACTGCATTCTAAGCACCAGAAACTCTTGTGCTGACCCCATTATAGAAGTGTCTGGCAAAGTGATAAATTCAGAACATGTTCCCTGTACTTTTCCCATTTCATTAATTCAGCTTCTTAAAAGCCTTTGATACTAAGGGTATGTTCAAAGAAATGCTACAAGTGTGATTAAAAGGGACAGTTAGCCTGAGCCCCGCAAGCCCAAGTTAAGGGGCTGTTGAATTGCAGTGTAGATGTTCAGGCAGGCTGCAGCCCAAGAGCTGAAAGTCTACTCTGCAATTCAACAGCCCTTTAGTCTGAGCCAGCTGGCATATGGGCCAGGGTGTCTAATTGCAGTGTAGACATACCCTAAGTGTCCTATGTTTGGATTTAAAGAAACAGTCAACTTACCACTTTTGTCTTTGAGTGCTGGATTTCTGTTCTTACAGGTAACACTTAAGAAGTTACCTTAAAATCCATTGCTAAAAATTTAACTCTGTCCCTTTTAATCACACTTGTAGCATTTCTTTGAACATAAATTTTTGTGGCTTAGCTTTGAATTTAAGCACCATTATGAGAATCGACAATGTCATAACTCTGATCGAGAGTGGATCAAGTGACCTGCCATTTTGTTTCTCTTCAAACTTATGACGTGAATTTTGTTCAATGGCTCTGTCTCTACAACTTCATGTACATCTGTCTTTCAGCTGTTTGTGGTAGATGTCCAGACTGGTCAAATTACGAAGATTCCTATTCTGAAAGACCGAGAACCTGATATGGTAAACCAGCAGGGCTGTGGTATTCATGCAATTGAGCTAAACCCTTCGAGGACGCTCTTGGCTACAGGAGGAGACAATCCAAACAGCCTTGCGATTTATCGTCTGCCTACACTTGATCCCGTCTGTGTGGGAGATGTAAGTTAACATATTTGGGCAAGGTACAGCGTCACTCAGTAGGTCGGGGTGGGCAAACTACAGCCCACGGGCCAGATCTGGCCCCTCAGGGCTTTGGATCAGGCCCGCGGGATTGCCACCCCTGTGGCGCCGCGCCACTCCCAGAAACAGCTGGCACCACGTCCTTGTGGTCCCTGGGGGACGGGGGGGCAGAGGGCTCCGCACACTGTCCTCACCTGTGGGTTCCACACCCGAAGTTCCGATTGGCTGCAGTTCCCCGTTCCAGGTAAGCGGTGCCAGGTTGGAGCCCGAACCCCTTCTGCACCCTGCACTCCAAGCCTCCTGCGTTCTGAACCCCTGCCCTGATCCCCGCTCCTGCACTCCAAACCCTTGCCATGAGCCCCCTCCCACACTCCGCACCCCTTCTCCACCCCAACCCCTTGCCCTGAGCCCCTTCCTGCACACCACATCCCCTCCCACACACCACACTCCCTCTCGCACCTCAACCCCCTGCCCCAGCCCTACATTCATGGCCCTGTATGCAATTTCCCCACCCGGATGTGGCCCTCGGGCCAAAAAGTTTGTCCGCCCCTGCAGTAGGTATTACAGTGAAGTGTCCAAGGTCAGAAATCTCATTTCGTGCAGAATTGAAGTGTCAGGGTGAATGCACTGGAGATATGGACACACATCCCTGTTTAATGTGGTCTGTGCACATCCTTAAAAATATTCCTTTTAGTCTGGAAGAGTGAACCGGCAAACAGTGCAAGGGATGAGTCAACTCTACTGATCCTGGGGTTTTGATTCTGTCCTTAATAAGCAATCTTCTTGCAAAGGCTTCACTGTAGAAATAGCTTCTTCGTAAGCCACATCCCCCAACAGACCCATTTTGGAGACCAGTGTTACCCTTTAGTTAGAAATTAGCAACATCCTAAATTGCTAACGGAAAACTGAAATTTCACACACGGTAAACTGAGGCATAAACCAGGCTGTTTAGCATAAAAACTATATTGTGAGACGATACTTTGAGGGGGGGGTCAATGGTTCTTCTATAAGCCAGTGTGACTTGCACATGGATTCTGAGGACAGAATTGGGCTCTGTGGGTTAGTTCTAACTCTGTAGCTCTTGCCTGCATATGATGTAAACTGTACCATGCTCCATTTAATAATAATAATAATAAAAAAAAAAATCTTATGGCCTTTTAAAAAAGTTTCTTAAACAAAGTTAAAGGGAGTGTCTTCTTGAAAGCTTTGTTCTTGGGCAGGACCTTCACATGAGCATCAATGAATCACAGCAGCTGAGGTCAGAATGTCTGTGGTAGCTGTTTTAGGGTGATAACCAACTGCAGAGTAGCCTGATTTCTAAGGTTTATAGGACATCGCTTCCTATTCAGTTGCATAGTACTGTGACTTAACCTCTCTTACGCAGAATTACTCCCACTGAAGTTAAAAGAGAGCGTCAGGCCCACAGTTCTCTGTGAACAACTACAGTGGCATCCCTTGAGTTATCTAGCTTTACTATATGGGTAACGATTGTGTATGGAACACCCATATTTCCAGCCTGACCTATTTTTCTAGAGCTGCAGTGTCATGGATTGTAAATACATAACTATTTTTAATGGCTTCTTAATATATAACGTAGAACACGATTACATCAATAGTAGTGATGTGTGTATGAGAAAATACACAGGAAACATGAAAAGCAACAGAGAGTCCTGTGGCACCTTTAAGACTAACAGATGTATTGGAGCATAAGCTTTCGTGGGTGAAGGCCCACTTCGTTGGATGCATGTAATGGAAATTTCCAGGGGCAGGTATAAATATGCTGGCAAGAATCAGTCTGGAGATAACGAGGTTAGTTCAATCAGGGAGGGTGAGGTCCTCTGCTAGCAGTTAAAGTGTGAACACCAAGGGAGGAGAAACTGCTTCTGTAGTTGGCTAGCCATTCACAGTCGTTGTTTAATCCTGATCTGATGGTGTCAAATTTGCAAATGAACTGAAGCTCAGCAGTTTCTCTTTGGAGTCTGGTCCTGAAGTTTTTTTGCTGTAAGATGGCTACCTTTACATCTGCTATTGTGTGGCCAGGGAGGTTGAAGTGTTCTCCTACAGGTTTTTGTATATTGCCATTCCTGATATCAGACTTGTGTCCATTTATCCTTTTACGTAGTGACTGTCCAGTTTGGCCAATGTACATAGCAGAGAGGCATTGCTGGCACATGATGGCATATATAACATTGTTGGACGTGCAGGTGAATGAACCGGTGATGTTGTAGCTGATCTGGTTAGGTCCTGTGATGGTGGTGTTGGTGTAGATATGTGGGCAGAGTTGGCATCGAGGTTTATTGCATGGATTGGTTCCTGAGTTAGAGTTGTTATGGTGCGGTGTGTGGTTGCTGGTGAGAATATGCTTAAGGTTGGCAGATTGTCTGTGGGCGAGGACTGGCCTGCCTCCCAAGGACTGTGAAAGCGTGGGATCATTGTCCAGGATGGGCTGTAGATCACTGATGATGCGTTGGAGAGGTTTAAGCTGAGGACTGTAGGTGATGGCCAGTGGAGTTCTGTTGGTTTCTTTCTTGGGCTTGTCTTGTAGCAGGAGGCTTCTGGGTACACGTCTGGCTCTGTTGATTTGTTTCCTTATTTCCTTGTGCGGGTATCGTAGTTTTGAGAATGCTTGGTGAAGATCTTGTAGGTGTTGGTCTCTGTCTGAGGGGTTGGAGCAGATACGGTTGTATCTCAGTGCTTGGCTGTAGACAATGGATTGTGTGGTGTGTCCGGGGTGGAATCTGGAGGCATGAAGGTAGGCATAGCGGTCGGTGGGTTTTCGGTATAGGGTGATGTTAACGTGGCCATCACTTATTTGTACTGTGGTATCTAGGAAGTGGACCTCCCGTGTAGATTGGTCCAGGCTGGGTTGATGGTGGGGTGGAAGCTGTTGAAATCGTGGTGGAATTTTTCCAGAGTCTCCTTCCCATGGGTACAGATGATGATGATGTTGTCAATATAGCGTAGGTAGAGAAGGGGCGTGAGTGGATGAGAGCTGAGGAAGCGTTGTTCCAGGTCAGCCATAAAAATGTTGGCATATTGTGGGGCCATGCGGGTGCCTATGGCGGTGCCACTGGTCTGGAGGTATATATTGTCACCAAATTTGAAATAGTTGTGTGTGAGGATAAAGTCACAGAGCTCAGCAACAAGTTGTGCTGTCTCATCATCAGGGATACTGTTCCTGACAGCTTGTATTCCATCTGTGTGTGGGATGTTTGTGTAGAGAACCTCCACATCCATGGTGGCTAGGATGGTGTTTTCTGGGAGATCACCAATGCATTGTAGTTTTCTCAAGAAATCAGTGGTGTCACGGAGATAGCTGGGAGTGCTGGTGGCATTGGGTCTGATTTATTTTTCAAAAGTAAGGGATGCACCTATCTAAGTGCAACATCTGATTCTTCAAACTTAAATTTTGGAACTGAATGAAGTTTAATCTTCATCATGCGGCTTCTTTACTCACCACTGATGTTAAAGGGCCACTATCTATTTGAAATCTATTTCAAAAAGTAAGTTAAAAGTAGTTTCAGGTAATAAACTAAAATTTGCAAGTTTTGTGATGTTGCCATCACAATTGTCTATTTTTTTTTAAATAGGATTTCCTTTTGTTGCTGTACAAAAAACCAAACTCCTTGTTCAAGGTAAACTGTACAACTAGTTGTGCATTGCTAGCAGTTGGTATGTAAAATATACACACTGATAAATCAGACAGGCTGATTTGTCCTTTTTTCTCTTCAGGATGGACACAAAGACTGGATATTTTCTATTGCCTGGATCAGTGATACTATGGCTGTTTCTGGTAAGTTTATCTTCGCATAAGCCTTTTAGAGAGTCGTTATTCGATGTCTGTGTCTGAAGGAAAGACTCCAAAGTGCTACTGTGTAAGTACATGATGTCTGATGAGGTGATCAGAGTATCAGGAAGATGTATTTGTTGGAGGAACAATGGAGCACAATTGTTTTCATGATGCTTCCAATTTAAAACCTGTGAAACAAAGACACAATCTATACTTGAAATATAATCATGATAGCACCAAGCTGTCTGATGTAGCTAGGAGCATCCTTTTTCTAATGCATTTTGTTTGTAGTGTGGATGGTACAACATGGCTGTAGAACTGCTATATTGGCCACACTACAAACAAAAAGCCTTATTAGAACATGGGCACCTCTAACCATGACAGACAGCCCTGAATTGACATGATTCAACCTGAAGTATAGTTGGAGCCTAAATGTTGTGTGTGTAATTGCATGTGGATGGTGTCTCAACCAGGTCTGTATCTAAACTCTTTAGAGACCGCAAAAGTCTTTACCTGCAATGAAATAATTAAATCATGCTTTAAAAATAACCCCAAAACTCCACACCCATGTAGTTATACTGAGTGCCTTTAAATCCCACTAACCTAGTTGTTAGTGTGCATCAGGAAGAGAATGTATCCCACTAGGGAAAGTTTCTGCATATCCGTGCTTATTGTAGAAGTTGTCACTGGAAAACTGAATAAAGTAAAGCAAATCTTGATTGTGGAGGTGGGAAGTCTCTAGGAACATGTTCTCTTCAACACTGAACAATGAGGTGCAGTACTTGATTGTGCTCCTTTAGTAGGTAAGGTTTAATACCATTTAATAAATCTCTTTGTAGTCATTAGATATTGGATACCATTCCTCTGTATGTAGAGGGAGATTTGGGCTCGACTGTGGGTGCAGCTCCACCCAAAACCACCTGCAGCCTCAGTGGTGCATTTTAAAGCTGCTTATCTTCAATCTTGGATCAACTCTGAACGGCATTGGTCTTGCAGGGAGACTAGTCTTGCTTTCACACTTCTTTCTAGCTGATTATAGCTTTCCTTTACTATTGGTCTCAGCCTTCAATGAGCCTAGATTTGGGGCGGGGGGAGGAAGAGGAGAGTGTCCACACAATGGGAAGCGTCTCAAGAAAAGCAAACTAGTAAAGTTGGAGAAAAGAACAGATATTACTGAGGATGCTTGATGGAGAGAGAGAAGGGAACAGCAGAGCAACAAGAAACCTAGTACATGATTGTTTTACCCTGTTTGTTACTCCCACATAGCTTCATCGTTGTGCATTCAGGGGAAGAGAGCCTGCCACATCACTTAGCCAACCTGAAGCATCACATGGTATCTTTGGCATGTGTCCATGGGGCATACAGGTTCTGCTGTCTGGACATGTCACTAAGGCAACAAATCCGAGCATAAATACTGTATTTAAAATTTTAGTCAGCTTGCCAAGTATGTTCCGGAGAGCTTGTTTACCTGTGGATCCTGGTGCAGAAAATGCCACGGATAAAACTATGCAGAAGGAGAATTAATAAACCCTACAAATATGAAACTAATTATATTTGGCCATCAAAGTCGAGAAGCAGAAATATTTGAAATAAAGCTGGGGGAGGAGTTACCACATGCCTCTATGTAGGTCGAGAAACTGAAGGCGAAATTTCACACCATCTTCTGGGAGGCAGATTAAACATCTTTTCCTCTCAGGGAAAGGAGCTATTGGTCCCACTGCAGGTCAGGTCAGATTGCCAGCCACTTCCCCCAGTTTGGGATTAGAGGCCTGCCAGTCTCTGATGTCTCACGTGAACACTCAGGGGAGGCCTTTTTGTATCCTGCTCCAGAGAGGGCTGGAGGGTTGACTTTCCGTGTCACTTTATCTAAACACCAGCAAGAACGACGCAAGGGTCAACCTCCACCCAAGTGTGTGGAGTGTCTTATTCAAGGAGTTCATAGACATAAACTAAATCTCTTTTGACCTAAAGCAGCTTTGAAGGAAGAATAAGTCTCCCATTATAGGCGAACAATAGGCTCTTCCTTGGTAAGAGTTTCTGATAGGATGAATAATTCTCTAGATGATACTTATAAGCCTAGGGTGACAAATGGAATTCTCCCCTTGGCTTCAGGGCTAACCAGTTAAACAAGATACAGTGACACATTTCTCTGTTAGCAGTAATAAAAAGAACAGCTTCTTTATAAAGTGTATCAGGGTGTTTAGAAATTAATGGGGGTGCTATTGAATTTTAAATCTCCATAACAAACAAGATTATGCTCTATTTAAAAGCCATGACCGTATAAATTAATTGAGTGGTAGGACGCTTGTATGATAAAATGTTATTGGGAAGCCCTTTACTGTGATTGTCAGTAATGAGCATTAGTGGGAGCTGATGGGATTTATTTGATGGTAAAAGACAAAATATGTTGAGCCAATGATATCATGTCTGGATGACTCAGAATCCATTTTATACACCTCTACCCCAATATAACGCGACCCGATATAACACGAATTCGGATATAACGCGGTAAAGCAGCGCTCCGGGGGGGCGGGGCTGCACACTCCGGCGGGTCAAAGCAAGTTCGCTATAACGCGGTTTCACCTATAATGCGGTAAGCTTTTTTTTGGCTCCCGAGGACAGCGTTCTATCAAGGTAGAGGTGTACTTTAAAAATAAAAGAGAGTGTACCAAAGGCTATAATTTCGAGGGGTATTGATCCTTACTTGCTCTTTCCAGCTTGAAAGGGACACTCACATGAACAGAGCCCTTTGTAAATCACACATTCACAGAGGGCACAGAAATCATGAAAATACACCCCACCCCCACACTATGATCTTTGACATTTTTTAAAAAAAGGAAAACATCTGCAAATTTAGAATACAAAAAATTACTTAGTCAATTTTAAGGATGGAATGAATTTTATTGAATTTACTTGTAAACTTCATTCCATGCAAACTGTGAAATTCCATACTTTGCCATTAATGCTGTTATGAATTTTCTTAAAAATTTACACTGCCCTACACATGAACTGGGCAGGAGTTGTTATCCATATTGTATAGGCAAAGAAGGAGAGGTACAGATGGCAAAACTGAGGCACAGATGGAAGTGAGTTGTCCAAGGCCCAGAGGGATTGGGTCTCAGGGCTGGGAATAAGAACTCCGTTCCTGTGCTCCTCTAGTGTCAGCGTGGACTAATTTAAATCAAGGTGACTTTAAATCATTGTTTAAATGATGATTTAAATTATCAAGTGGAAAGCCTTTATTTAAATCATCAGTTTTAATCAATTTTTCCATTTGTACTTGTTTTCTAAAAAAGTGCATTCTCATTGGTTGGCATAATCATTAAAACATGTTGATTTCCAAGTCAATAGAGCCTTTATGTTAATTTGGTACATCTTTTTGACACTTAAGAGGGTGCACTGTAATGTAATACATTTATTTAAGCAATTGTATAGCTTAATATTTTCAGATTCTTATTAATTGTACATTTTTAGTATGTTAGAAAATGGTGGATTATATATTGTCTATTAGGTAATTAACTTTTTGATTTGTGTCAAATTGCAGTAGGCTGGTAATTGGAATTGAAACACACAACAGCATAGAAAACTTATTTTTATGGAACAAAACAAACTTAAATGTTTTGGATACCTAAACTTTTCTTATCAAAACATGTCCCACATTTACAGCTAAAGGAACAGAGGGATTAACAATAGTCCGTGAATTAAACTGATTGCTTCAGGTCACCTTGAAAATGTTTCAAATTTCACTAAGTGAAAGTGACTGGAGCTTAAGTTTCTACTCGTCTAAGTCTCTTGAACACGAGACAACAGTCTCTTAAGTTACATAAGCTGTCATTCAAACTTTTAAAATTAGTACATCTCATCCCTTGTTCTGATTCATAGACTGGAAGAGAGAGACAAGTTTTTCTGCTTTTTCAATTCCCAGTTGATTTCTCAATTTTGAATGAATTAGAATATTTTCTTCATTTGGACTTTCTGTGCCTGCAGAGGAGGCTACTGCTGCCGAAAGTTGGTTTAACACTTCAACAAACTCTGGTGCTTAGCTAGTGACTTCCACCAGCTCAGTGGTGTGACTTTATTTAAAACATCAGCCAACAAGTACTATTTTGAATGGTTCACCTCCCGCCCTGACATTATTTTAGTTGTAGCCATGTTGGTTCCAGGATATTAGAGAGACAAGGTAGATGAGGTAGTAGCTTTTATTGGGCCAGCTTCTGTTGGAGAGAGAAACAAGCTTCCAAGCCACACACAGCTTGTCTCTCCCACTAATAGAAGTCAGTCTAATAAAAGATATTTCATCACCTACCTTGTCTCTCATTACTATTGATGGGTGATTATTAGATGCCCAAGTCTCTCAGCAGCATCTTCTTCAGCAGTTAGGCATCTACCTTGGTGCACTGGATTGAGAATATTGGTATGAAAATGAGATGGAGAAAATGCTCGATCCATCTGCTTTTTTTACTTCCTACAATTAAACTTTGTTGTTGACTATCTTTTTCTTCAGTATCTCTTGAAGTTCTCTCCAAATTTCCACAGCCTCAGCAGTAAAGCAGCAATCTTTCTGCAATTTTTCCAAGGCTATGGGAATAGGTTTCAGTATATTCAGCATATCTTCTACATGTCTCTTTAGTCAGATATTGATGACTTTGGCTGTGATAGCTCTGTTGTGTCATGATTTTCTTCATAAATTGTTATCAGAATAGGCCAGTTCTTAATAAATAACCGAAAATGGTCAACTACTTGAATTCCATTGTACATTAGTTTGTATCCTCCTGCTGAAGCAAAATGGCTGTTACCGTAAATGTTTTGTAATTTCAATATTTTCCTTTATTCTGGAGTCATACGTAATAGGTGCATCAAAAGAGCACTGCACCTGTATAAGTTTCAGATTCCTTTCATTTATTTTCTTCTAGTTTTCTTGTCATCTTTGCAAATTTGCAGCATTGTTTGTGACAAAGCTATGCACTTGACACATTGTTCAGTTTGTTACATCAGGATGTGCTCATACAGCAGAATACTTAAGAGAAGTAGCAGTAACAGCTGTATCAATTGTTTCTGTAAAATAAGTGGTTCTCAACCTTTCCAGATTACTGTACCCCTTTCAGGAGTCTGAGTTGTCTTGTGTACCCTCAAGTTTCACCTCACTTAAAAACTACTTGCTTACCATATCAGACCTAAAAATACAAAAGTGTCACAGCACACTATGACTGAAAAATTGCTTACTTTCTCATTTGTACCATACAATTATAAAATCAATCATTTGGAATACAAACATTATACTTGCATTTCAATGTACAGTACATAGAGCAGTATAAACAAGTCATTGTATGAAATTTTAGTGTGTACTGACTTAGCAGTGCTTTTTATGTAGCCTGTTGTAAAAGTAGGCAAATATCTAGATGAGTTGATGTACCCCCTGGAAGACCCCTGCATATCCCCAGGGGTACGCGTACCCCTGGTCGAGAACCACTGAAAGAATCCCACTTTCTGTTGGTACACAAGCACACATTACTGGATCATTGTGTACATTACTCCACCCATCAAGACTTAATTAATTTTCCTGACAAGGTTTGTTGTACACAGTTCAATTTCCTTGTCGTACATGGTGTCCAGCAATGTCTGCTGTGCCAGCGGGGGGCTGGTCATAATTGAACCATGTGAATGAAATGTATGTTCTCAACAAGAAAAAAAGGAGAGAAGTTGTTACATAAATAGCTGAGCAACTTTTTCACCTATGGAGTTTGGCTGGTCCTGATCATGAACTCATCCATAAGCTTTACTGGATGATGAAGAAAGTCTTTCTGATACAGGTAACTTACTGTGTGATGTAGTTGAGTTGCAGCACTGCCGGTGACACCAGCAGTTGACTCTGAAGTTGCAGACATTGCAGATGATGGACATCCATAACCTTTCATGTCTAAGCTGGGCCCTAAAACAAAATGGTAAACACAAGTTACACTCTCACTGAGTGTTACTCAGTGCACTGCCTTAAAAAAAAATAAAAAGGTTATAAATGAAAGATTCCTCCTACTGCAGCTGTTTGTACCACTGTTGAAATTATATAATTTATTCTAAACCCAGTTTTGTAGGAAAAATAATTAAATTGTAAAGATTATCTAAATCTATTTAAACACTTATGTCTAGCAATATACCAAACAGCTTGAAAAAACTCTTTTTAAATGTTAAAATTCATACATGCCTAATAAAACTTTTAAAAAGGAAATCTTTGCCTAGGATGTTTGATTATATTGAGCAATTAAAATCATGTCCGAAGTCCAGCAATAATAGTAAAAATGTAATTGATAAATACTCCCACAACAAATTAACATGCCTGTTATGTTTTGAAATTCATCAGTAATCCACCCAAAACACACATGCATGGCAATAATCAGTGTTATCCTTTATTAGCATAGTAAGACATGGTAGGCAGTCCGTAAGAATGGTGCCAGAATAGGTTTACTGACCAGCTGATCCATATTATTCAGACATGTCAATATCATTTTCAGTCATTGCCTTTTTAAGAGCATTTTTCATATTGTTTCATTCCAACAATCAGGCCTTGCATCTCTTCGTTGCATTGTTTACATTTGGCATGTGTTCCTTTTTTACCCAAAGGTACAGGAATTTCTTGTAAAATATTCCTATACGGGGTCTGTTTTACAACCTGCAGCCATGGCAGTTTTTCTCCAGTTCCCAGGTGTTGAAATCAATGCTACAGGCTGCACTCTGAAGAATGTTGTCCCTTCTTCCCAGTGTCTTGCTTTGACACCCTTCCCCACTCCTCCCCCTGCATTGCCCTCAGAAATACAAAAGAACAACAAACTAAGATTTCTGTTTGTGTAACCCACATGCCTTTTGCACTGCAGTATTTTATTTGTTTAGAAGCTGAGGGAGGCAGTCGAGAAATTAATGGATTTCTGTTTGCTTGTAGTGCAAGGAGACAGGGCAAGGCAAGGCCATTTACTTGACGTGCCAAGAAGGCGGGGGCTTGGTAGTTAGTGGGCAGATCAGTGTTTTTCCAGGAGCTGGAGAGAGAGTTTCCATGGTGGGTGGAGTCATAGATATTCATAATTTGAGAACTCAGCCAATCTGATCTCAGTTAAGGAGAAGCTGTAAAATAGGAATATGTCACCACCTTGATGGGCTCAGGCAGTGATCATGATGAGATATATGATGGTGTCTCCTGGAGTCCTAGGCTGGGTCTCAACACCTATGATGACTTTGCCAGTCTCTTGTGCCAAGAGGCACAGCCCCTGCGCCCCACACAGGATCAAACTCTTAATACAGTATATGACCTATTGTGCCCTATTTATAAAGCTTGACCTCAAAAGTTAGGTGTTTTTTCCCCTGATTCTTTCTCTATATAGGAAAGCAGCATTTAACTGCAATTTTTTGATAGAGGTTCATGGATTTAGCATATTTTTTTAAGAGATTGTAATAAGATTAGGCCTTAACATATTTTGTATTAAATTCAGACTTCATTTTAAGCAGGTTAGTTTTTTAAAAGAAAAACTTGGTATAATTTAAATAAATTACATTTTTTACAAAATAGATATTTTTATTTAAAAAAAAGATTGTATCCACTCTTGTCTAGTGTCATCAGAGACTATAAGAAGGATGGTCTTGCTGACTGGTGTCTGCAGACCCAATAGAGAGAAATAAAATCTTTGCTAGTCTGAAGATTATGCTTGCTCAGTCTCTTACCATCTGAGTTCCTGGACACATTCAGGGCTTGTCTAAACACACAAGATGCACAGGTTTAACCAAAATCAGTTTAAAAACAGGTTTAAACAATGCAAGCCACTGTTTGAACACTTATGTTTGTTTAAAACTGATGTCTGTTTAGTTTGCACCTGTAAATACACTGCCAAGTTTAAACCTACTTGAGTGTTCATTCAGGGTTTTTCCACTGGTTTAATTAACCCCATTTGAAAATGCACCTTTAGTTAAACCAGTGCAACTATGTAGACTAGACCTTGCTGTTCCAGCCACCTCTAAGCTGCTGCTAGTTGTATGTTCTCTGAAGATGATCGCTCCAGTTTGATGCTCCTGTTTACTGCTTGTAGATCTCAGAATAGCTCGATTTGATTGAGCTGCTTTAAAATGTATGTAGCCATTGGCAAGTTTTAATGAACCCAATTATCTTTCTAAATTTGACTGCTTTCAAATATCATACTTTTATTAGACTTTATTAATACTTAAAGACCAACAATGTGTTCAGTTAGATTAAACTAACAGTACTTTATTCTTCCCTTGTCAGGGCCATGTCTTACTTGCTTGACTGAAGTTCCGTCTTCAATAGGGAAATTTTGTGTGCCTAACGCATGCTGCTATGTCTTTTCTATTCAGGTTCCCGGGATGGCTCGATGGGTCTCTGGGAGGTGACAGAGGATGTGCTGACTAAAAGCGATGCCAGGCACAACCTCTCTCGAGTCCCTGTCTATGCTCACATAACACACAGGGCACTGAAAGATATCCCCAAGGAGAACACCAATCCAGACAATTGTAAAGTCCGAGCACTGGCATTCAACAATAAGAACAAGGTCAGTAAGATAGAAACAGGGAACCTGAGAGGAGTGAAAAATGGTAACCTTTCAGTTTGTAACATTGGATACAAAATTAGACTGGAATCACTTTAGTAAATTAACAGCAAACCTGCATCTGCGGTATATTTTGCTTGCTGATTCTTTTGTCTTCCCCTTCTCTGATACTGTTCTTTGTCTGCTTCTTTTGTCTCTGCCATTAACAAACAGATAGGATCTGGAGCAAACGTAAAATGTTCTTCTGGAAGGAAAAGTTTTCCTGTGGGTTTTCTGGTTTTAAGCTCTTTGGCCTATGGAATGTGTCTATACAATAGGCAAAATACTAGACGAGTTTGGACCATGGTGGTAATCCTGTCCCCACTCTTAACTGGTGTACAAACCGTTATTACTGATCAGTGCATGTCTGCCAGTGGCCAGCTAATGCGCATTCAACTGATTCGACTCCTAAGACATAACATTAGACAACTCAACATTTTTTGTTGGCCGAGCTTGTTTTTGGTAGTTGTCAAACTGTATCTTGCAAACTAATGAATACCAATTGTTAGGGAGGAGGATATGGCTTCTAAAAGACTGTCTCTTGATGCAAGACTTAAGTTTTTGTTAAAATGCATACATACAATCTTATTTAATATTTATTGCCCCATGTTGCTTTAGGTGCTGAGAATTGCCAATGCTAACTTGTAGTGCATTTTCTTAGACTCGTAGACTTTAAGGTCAGAAGGGACCATTATGATCATCTAGTCTGACCTCCTGCACAACGCAAGAGTTGCTCACTTGATCGAACAAGGTTCTTATATTGGCTAAGCTACCGTTTGGTTGTAGGCTTTCCATTTCACTTCTGGTCTTTCCCCACAGTCCCTTTTGTGCTCTACTGAAGTCAATGTGCAATTAAGACTTATCTTGTACAAATTCATCAACAGATCCAGGTAGCATTCATCTATAAGTTCAACTCAAGTCATTAAAGTAGCCTTTAAACCACTGCTTTGCATTGTAATTTATTTGTACGAATATATATATCATATGGAAGCTAACTTTTTTTTTTTCTTCTAGGAGCTAGGAGCTGTGTCCCTGGATGGGTACTTTCATCTTTGGAAAGCAGAGCACACGCTATCAAAGGTTGCCATTCTCGTGTATTTATGCTAAATTTCAATAGTTAACCTATCAGTTAAGGCTGCTTCCTACTCTACGTCCGTTTCCTTAGAATGTGTCTGAATAGACTCCAGCAGTGTCTGTAAGACGCTTGCCCAAAACGTTGATTTGAAGGTTGAAAAGTTTCCTAGCAAAGGTAACGTTTATGAAGTTAGAGCACTGGACACGTGAGTATTTATTTCCCTTTTGAGAGAGGGAAGCTCCTAATTTCTTACTAATCTTGGACAAATTAGGAGCTTTCACTTATCTTGTTCTAGTGTTAGTTATACTAAGGGTTTATCAATATGAGGAAGTTGCCCTGGTTTGACTTAGGCCTTATCTACATTTAAAACTTATACCAGCAGAGCTGTGTTGGCTAGGAGTGTGGAAAAAATCCTAGCCAACAAAGCTGTGCTGGCAAAACCCACAGTGTAAATGCAGCGATGCTGACAAAGTGCTGCTTTTGACATACAGCTAATGTTGTTCAGGGAGGTGGTATTACTGTGCTGGCTGAACTCTTCTGCCGGTGTACGCTGCATCTACAATAAGGGGCTATGCCAAAATCGATCCTGTAGTATAGACGTAGCGGTAAGATGTACTTTCAAACTGGTTTAGACTGGTGCAAACTGCTGTTGATGCTTGGTTTGGTTTAAACTAGGCTTACTTCAACTTAGGCTAAGTTAATCAGGAACAGATTTAAACAAAGATGAAGCAAGAGTGTCTACACAGGGAATTGTACCAGTTTAACCAAGCCTGTTTAAAAACAGTCTGTAGCTAAACCAGTACAATTTCTACATGTGGGCAAGATCTAAATGCCTGTCTTTCTCCCTTCCCTGCTCTCCAAGAGCTGCAATTTCCAGCTTTTCTCCACCCAGTGGCATTACCATCTCTCCTTGCCCTTCTCCTTCAAGTCTTTGCCCTACAGATCAAATAGTTACCTTCTTCCAGAAGAGTTTCCAAGTCCATGTTACTGCTTGAGTGTAGTTTCCTCAAATATGGTTTCAGGGATGTTTGGATTTTGTTCAGTCATTTGCATCCCTCCTCCCCCCCACATTTTTCAGTTAACTTCTCTCTCCATTTATTTCCAGCTACTTTCCACCAAGTTGCCATACTGCAGGGAGAATGTGTGTCTGGCCTATGGTCAGGAGTGGTCAGTGTATGCAGTAGGATCTCAAGCACATGTCTCCTTTCTGGATCCAAGGCAACCTTCCCACAATGTTAAGTCCGTCTGTTCCAGAGAACGAGGCAGTGGTAAGGAAACTTTGAAGTGAAGTTTCAAATTTTTGATCTTTCCAAAAAATACAGTAGGCTAGTAAATATCAAGGCTTTTCCTGTGAACTTCCCAGATCAGTAGTAGTACACCTCTACCCCGATATAACGCAACCCAATATAACACGAATTCAGATATAACGCGGTAAAGCAGTGCTCCGGGGGGCGGGGCTGCACGCTCTGGCAGATCAAAGCAAGTTCGATATAACGCGGTTTGACCTATAACGCAGTAAGATTTTTTTGGCTCCCGAGGACAGCGTTATATCGGGGTAGAGGTGTATATGTAAACTTAAACTTTGAACTAATATTCCCCATGCAAAACAGATTAAAACAGTATCTCTGAAGCTAAGGGAGAGAGGCAATCACCTCACTCTTTAATCAGGTCAAATTAAAATGTCTCTGTTTAGACTTTGTCATGCTTAAAGGGATGCTATCACTTCAGAGTATACGTTGTAAACTTGTTGTTAATAATGCAGTAGATTACTAATATATTGGATTTTCAGTAACTATTGGTACTCTGTTTACTACTTGCATTTGTGTGTGCTGCGAATGAATAACTGTTTAGTCACCTTGATGCCCTGTACTACATTACTGAGTTTCAACTCTGCAACAGAATGGTTTTTTAGAATTTTAAAGCCATGAAGGAAACATTTCTAGGGTTTAAATTTTATAAAATCTTGTTCTTACAAAAGTTAAGTTGAGCCAAATGTAAATAGTCTAACTGTCAACTTCTGTACGGTTTTGGGTTATACACACTGAAGAAAACTCTAGGTACCCAGGTTTGAAAGTTAATGCCTAAATCCATATTCAGGCACCTGGATAAGCAGCCTTCTTTTCAAAGATGCTAAACATCTGTAGCACCAATTGATTTCAGTGGGATTTGTGGATGCCTAACACCTTTGAAAATAGGCCATTTTTATTGAGTTGAATCCTACACTAACTATGGGTTTAATTTTAGGCACCCAGGCTTGAAAATATTGGCCAACAGCCCTTTGCTGCTGAATGTTCCCCTTATGAACCAATTTGAAGTGCCATTTCCCAAAGTGTGTTTAAAACAGCCTCCTGATAAACTGGGAGAATCAGTGTGGTACTAATTATCTTGTGATTAGAGAAGGATAAAAGCTATAAAATGCAGGAATTGGTTTGGAGACCATATGTCCTCCGCATGCATTCATCATCACCTACTCCCCTTGTGTGAGCACCCTGATAGATTGCTCTTCAAGAGTAACAGAAATTAAAGGGCACTCCCCTGTGCTATTTTTCTAGTTCAAATGATTGATCTCTTACTGACTATGCTAGCCTCTGCTACCTTATACATAGTCCGAAACCACTTGCACACTGAATTGCCAAACCCAAATCTTTGTAACCTCTAAAACATAGTCATAGTCTCCTTAGCTAACTATAGACTTTTCCTCCATATATGTAATTTCTAGCGCCTTTCTCCCATTACTGCACAAATTCCTGTTTTTAATCCCACTTGGTTAGAATGAATTAAATTAGACAGCAGTTTGGCATAGCTGGATGGGAGCAGGCATATTATTTACACTGAACTTTCACTTCCATTTTGAATGTTTAATTTTATCTTACTTTAAACAAACTGTAGCATGCTTCATAAGCTTCTTGTATCGTACTAAGAAGGTGGCAGAATCTGTTTTTGGTTCCTCACTGATTTATTGGGTTTCTTTGTGGATCTACAAAACAAATTCTTTATACAGCAAATAGCGAAGTGATGACTGGCCCTTAATAACAAAGTAATGCTACATGCTTTTGTTTGGGTAAATTCTCTCCCCAAAGCAGATCAGTTTAAATGACCTTTTTAGTTCAGGGCACAAACCTAGATTTTTTGAAGTGATGTTTGGAACACAAGGAGATGAATCTTAAAGGACAGACAGTCTCCTTCCTAGTGATTAGTACAGCTGCATATGATAGCCCTCAAAGTCATCACGGGACTGCTCTTGCTCCTACTGAAATGAAGCAAGTCTTTCCATATTGTTTCCTTTGTGCTCCCCCTTTCTGTACCCCCCCTCTCTGGTTCAGGTCTTAAACTTAGATTGTAAGCCCTTGGGAGCAGGGACCATCTTTTGGTTCTGTTTTTGTTGTCTGGCACAAGGGTGCCCTGCTCTGTGAGTGGGGCTCCTTGGCGCGCTACTCCGATATAAATAAATAACGAGAGTTGGATCGGATCCTTTGTGGGGAGAGGGAAAGATATTTGCAATAGCAGCTGTGATTTCTGTAACATAAATAGAACTGACTTGTGCTGTCTTACAGTTAAAGGGAAACGAAATAATCTGCCTACTACTATATTCTTGTAACAAAAAAAACAACAACCCCTAAAGCAGCACCCACCACTGCATAGCCAGAGCATGCATCTCCTCTTAAATGTGATTGTAACATTCTTTTTCCCCTTGACAGGTATTCGGTCAGTGAGCTTTTATGAGCACATTATAACAGTGGGAACAGGGCAGGGTTCCTTGTTGTTTTATGACATCCGAGCCCAAAGGTTCCTGGATGAAAAGCCCAATCACACCTGCCGTGGACAAAAACAGAAACTCGGAGGAAGTGAAATTTTAAAGTTGACGACCGGGAAAGGCTGGCTTGTGAGTAGCTTGCAGCTGTTGAAGCTCTTCTATATAGGGATGCTACAGGGCTTGAAGACCAGTTAATTCTACGTTTTTGGGAACTATACGTGTCAAATGAGCTTCACTAAAACACTGACTCAGTGACTGAAATCCCTTTAGCCTTTCCTCAGAAATAACGACCTGTTAGGAACATTTCTCTAACTCGTTGCAGTTCTTAGCAAATGGCCCTTTATATTTTCAATGTGTTGTACTGCACTGTAAATCGAAGTGCTCTTTAAAATAAGATACATTCTGTACCCTGAAGAACTTACAATCCTAGACCAGGCAGAGTGCAAAGAAATACAGCACAGACTAGTAAGAATTAACATTTGATTTCAGCCTAACTCCTATTTTTCAGTTGCTCATAACTGTCCCTCACTTTCTCTTTTTATGAAAGCTCGAGCAAAATATGGTGAGCCAGTTTTGAATTACTCCATCTTGACAAAATATTTTCCTAGCACAACTTTTGCATCACTCCTACTGAATGGACAAACTTCATACTCTATTTTGTAGTTCTCCTTGAAATCTCAGAAATAGATCTCGATGTTGAGCATTGGTACAGCAACGTTAGTTACACACACTTAAAGTAGATCTTATATGGTCATAGTAGACCTAGGCTATTTGTTTGTGGTCTAGAAAACTTCGTCCCGGAGGCCTACGTTAGATATCTGCATTCAGGAGGAATCAAGATAAGAGCTGAAATCAAAAAAATGAAACAAGTTGAGACACAAACAGCATTTTTTCCAAAGCAGTAATCTCTCTTTTATACTTGTCAAATAATATATTATACTCTAACTGTATTATACCTTTACATAATGGCGTACACGCTGCATACACCAGGCTATGCTGTTGCTTAATAAAACGTGCATCTAACCTGATGATTTAGGAGACCAGAAATACACAGTATTGGTGGAATTGTGTAGGTTTTTCAGACTCGCTCCTGTTTGATTAGTACATCTACCCTTTTCAAACTGTGCAGGGGCGGGGGACCATCAGTATGAGGAGGGGGGAACCCGGATCCTTGATTGAGGTTCCTAGGTGCTACCATAATATAAATTATTCAGTACAAAGTAATAGACTCTGTTCTAGTTATTAAATAACTAAGTCTGAGTGATTATAAATGAGATTTCCAACCTTATTTTCCTCCCCTCCCCCCAGTGTTCTTTCTGAGGAAATTTGGGCCACCAAACAGACTGCGGGATGTCCCTGGTATCTCCCAGTTCTAGCCTATCCGCATAAACCCCAGGGATCATTAATGCAAAAAGCCCCTTTTCAGGCTATGGAGACTAAATTTTGCTTTTGTGAAACAAGCTCTCCTCTTTTGCTCATTTGCAGCGATACTGATCTGAACTTTCCTTTAACAGAATCATGATGAAACCTGGAGGAATTACTTTTCTGACATTAACTTCTTCGCAAACGCTGTTTACACCCACTGCTACGACTCGTCTGGAACGAAACTCTTCGTGGCAGGAGGTCCCCTTCCATCAGGACTCCATGGGAATTATGCTGGTCTCTGGAGCTAATGAGAACTCTTCCCAAATGCCCATCTTGACGCTGATTTCCACCTTGTCTTTCCTTTTTAACAAAGAAATTGTGTGATGACATTGTTTTCTGGTTTAAATGCAAGTTATTTTTGGCAGAGTTTTCTGTTGGTCTTCAACAGTTTTGTACATTTTTTTTTTTTAACCAGATTTTGCTTTAACTTTCTTGATCCTTTATATGAAGGGTTTTTTAAAATCCCTTTTTATTGTATTTACTCCAAATGACTCTTCCCTGTATAGGCTTAACTCAGCCATATGCCCCCTACTTTGCTGTGAGGTAGGATTCCTTTCTTATAGAGTGGTTGCTGCCAGGCTTTCTGTGAAAGTCCAGGGGCTGTGTGTATGCAGGTACTTTGTGTCGGTTATGTTACCTGGAGTGAGGACTACTTGTAATTAAAAATATTAAAAATATTTATGAGATAAGCTACTACTTTATCTGCAGAGCCTGGCTCAAGCCTGGCTTGATTATTTTTTTTTTAAAGTACAAGTCTAATGACACTGTATGCATAAAGGAAAATGTATCGAAACCATACTCATTGGAACCCAGGGACAGAGCACCATCAGGAACATCTTATCTAGCCCAGAGTGTAGCAAAGACCCCAGCAGTGCATGAGCAAAATGACTATCTCTTGTTACCCCTTCTTTCTCTATCCTGAGTGTCAGTTGGCAAGGTTGTTGGAGCTTCAGAGTAGGCTGCCTGTACTGCAGCAGGGGTATTGTGTGACGTGACAGCTGTTACGATGGTGCACTGCAGCTTATTGGGGCACTAAGGGAAATGGCATCCCAGAAGGAGACAGTTTTGCTTGGTGGCTAACTTAATTCAATCTGATTAACTTCCAGACTAGCTGGGGGTCCTCTGGGTGGCTGGGGCTGGATGGCAGGGAGGAGCCAGGACTCAGGTACCTGGAGTCTGCCTAAAGACACACACCTCTTTCAGGCTGGAGACTTTTTTCCCCCTCTTATAGTGTTTCCCCTCTTGCAGTTCTCCCACCAGCAGTGAGTAATGTTGGCGGGAATGATTTTTGCTAGCCAGTTACTGCTATTAAAGTTGGTGGGCAGGGAGATGTTATGCTAATATTTTCATATTTTTTTCCCTTCTGGCCTTTGGCAGGAGGGTGGCATATGCAGTTAGTTGATGCTATTAGCAAATACAGTTGTCTTCCCCTTCTCTAATGACTGTAGGCTTAATTTTTTAATGCAGGTTTGAAACTTACCAGGTAGCTAGACTTCCTGTTCAACTCATCATGTTAAGAAAAGCATAGGCTGTCACTTGAATTTTATAGGAGACTTTTTGTTTTTGTTTTTTCCTGAGCACCTAGCTTATTGTTCAGTCCTGCCTTGGACTTCACCAGGAGCTGTGGGTGCAGGATGACAGTCTGGATACGCTTAGTGAACAAAATACAGGCCCAGTCATGGAGGGATTGTGCATTTCTGGTGAGGAAAAGATGGTCTTGTGGCTAAAACACAGGGTTAAGCATTGGACTCCTTGTTTCTCTTCCTGGCGCTAGCTGCTGTTGCCCTGTCACTTCATGTCTCTGAGCCTCACTGTGCTGATCTGTAATATGAGATTAATAGCACGCATGGCACCTGAGGTTTAATTTCTAACTTGAGATTATCAGACAAAAGACCTGGTAGAAGTGCAGGTTTCCCCCCCACATTCTGATTGCATGTCAGGGTTAAGGAAAGGGTTGTCCCATAGGCACACTGGGATTTGAAATATAGGCCTGACTTGATCACTTTGCAAACCAAGACATTTTACTACTGCATTCCAAACTTCTGCTAGTGGGTTGGTTGCTTAAAATCTGCATCAAAGCAAAAACTGACTATTAAATATGGTTTTATGACGCCGTTTCCAAGTAGTAGCCGTTAAATTATAGGGTTGTATATGAAGTAGTTCTCTCAGAACTTCCATTGTTAAACGAATGTAAAGATTCTAAGTATTTTTTATATTGTCACCAGTCACGCTTCCATGATGGGAACGTGTTGTTTTGGGGTTTCTTTTATGAATGTTTGGCAGGGCAGAGATGTAGCCTTTGACTCTGCTTCAGAAATATGCAAAGGAAAATAAATATTTAATCTACATGAAATATGGTGACACTTCATCTCTGTGAAGGAGTAGTCTTAAATCCTGTCCAAGCTCACTCTCTTCTACAGATAGGTTCTGCATTCTGCTGGGGTGTGTTGTTAGGGGTCAGATTTGCACAGGCACTGAGCACTCGGCTCCAGCTGACATCTCGGAGAGCAGAGCTCAGCTGTGTTAAAGTTGGGTCCACAATGTTTAGTAACATTTTAAATACATTTTTTTTTAACGCTGAAGGAAGCCTTTTGGTCTCGAAATCTAACCCCCTTTATAGTTAATCTTGTTAATTTAAAACTCATTTGTTTGTAGCTTTGAGTCTGGAGAGAACAATTTCCCCAGAGATTATTTTGAGCATTGTCCTATGTAGATGTTTTAGTGTTAAGGGGACACCAATTTAAAATTAGTCAGTTTCGTTGTGGGGGGAGGGTGACGTGGAGATGGTGTAGTTTCAAGTACTGCACTTGCTCCGGAGCGTTCTGCCAGGGTTTGCAGTCCTATTGGTGACTGTTTCCTGTTTTGGGGGGGGGACGGGGACTTTTTCCCTTATGTGAAAAGCCCACACAAACCAGGTAAATGGAATATACATCCAGTGCTGTCCAATGCAAAAAGAAAACTGGGAAATACTTTCCTTTATCCTAGTAACAGTATGTTGCTTTTAACAGTAATAGATTATAAAGTTTCAGACAAGGGTTTTAAGTAGCTGTCCCTTTAAGATGGGATGCCTTACTGTGATGTGATCCTGACTATCCAAAGTCAAATATTTCTTTTGATCCATTGAGCAGTTATGGAAACAGAGGCTGGGAGGGGAAGTGACTTGCCAAATGTCTCACGGTAAATCAGAAGTAGAAACAGGAAAAGAGCCTAGGTTTCCTGATTTCTAGTCTATGCCTGTTCCATTGCACTATGCTGCCTCGACCACACGGTTTTAGATTTAAAATTGAAATACCAGAACATGGCGGGGCAGATAGTAGCACATGGGGATCCAAATATGGGTCAGTGGTTTGCTGGTACAGCAGTGGGGAGGCTGTGAGCCCAGCCATAGAAGTGAGTGTGAAGGCAAAGCTCCCATCTCTCAAGCAACAGTAGAGAAACCCTATTGGGGGTGAATCTGGCCTTCTGACTAGATTTCGATAGCTTTAAAATAGGGTACGGAAACCCAGTGGTGGTCTCGCTTTGTTTGTAGACTAGCTAATTTTTCCACGTGCTCAAAGTCAGAAATCCTAGTGACCTTTTTTTTCCCCTCAGAGTTGCTTTGAGGGAAAGAAGGTTCTTAAGGATCATTCAGACAGGCATTTTTCTGATATTTGACATTATATTAACATGGTATCCTATTTGCATTGTAATGTCTCAAGCAGTTTATTTGATCATCCAGCACTTTTCATAAGGCTGCTATACAAAGCATGGTATCCTTGAAGCACCATATGCATTTGTTCTAATGTAGCAGATTAATTATTTAACAGTGATGGACCCAATAGTAGCCAACTCATGAGTACTGAGTGGCAACCCTACAACAACTAACCAGTGTGCTCATGATAAGAGAACCAATTTCCATTTCTTTTTCCTAAACTGTCCAGCTTTTAGCCACCATCGAGTTCAGCGTTCTTCCCTCAGGCCATTTTTCTATTAACCCCTCCAACCTTAGTCCATCATCTCAGTCTGTCCTGCCAGCCAAGGAAGCTTGACACAGCTCTCTGCAGTATCGCTCTGAGTGAGCTAGAGGCCACGTTAGACCAAGCAGCCTCCCGTTAGAAGCTGAGCGTGTTACCACCCCAGCACTCCCAGCTCAGGAGAGCCACAGACCAAGCACAAGTTTCATTGAGATTCATAGTTTGTGTTAATCCTGGGCCAGTTCCAGTGGTGCCAAAGATATAGTATATTTCTAAGCTATTTAAAAAACCCACTTAAGACTGGTCTAATTCAACACCCATTGAGGTCAATGCAAAAATACACTATCCTAATAATCCTTGACTGGCAGTTTTCATACCTTCAGGAGTGAGTCACTTCCATCTAAACCTTGCTCCCTGAGGTGCTGCTCTTGTGAGATGTTTGTAGCTGCAAAGTCCCAGAGAAGACTTGTATTTTTCGGATGCCCATCTTTGCAGTGGTATCAAAGAAGCTCTGAGAGTGACTCATCTCAAATTGCATCTCCATCTGACAATGCTGCGTCTGTTGTCAAAAGTAACTGCAGGGCTTCCTAAAACAGAAAGATCAAATTTTTTTTTCAGATTGTCATTGTGGATTTTACAGCAGTTCGTGGAGTGTTGGTTTCACTGTGGCGGTGGTGGTCAGTTCCCATGTCCTAATCTTAGGGCAGAATGGGGGAGAGGGGAATGTATTCACACTCTGCTCTAAGGGCAGTTTGTGCATGCTGTTCCCCTGGGTCTGCAAGTAGCAGCATAGGGGCAGGCAGGAGTGTGCACAGAAAGGAGGGCAGGTTTGGTGTTGCTCTTGGAACCACCCAGAAGTTCGATTTAAAGGAGAAACTTGATTTTTGTTTGTTTAAAAAAAACTTAGGTTGATATTGTCCCTTTATGTGGAATCTATTCTGGTTGTTTTCCATGTGCTTGAATTTATTGCTTGGGAATTAGGTAATCCTTGTAGCTTCATCTGTGCTGGGTCTCCTCATCAAAATTGGATACTTAAAAAAACAAACAAACAAACAAAAAAAAACACCACAGTGTTTTCAAGAGTTGTCTGAGTGGAACCTGGTCTGTTTTGTCCCTAGACTCCAGAGGCCTTCAGAAGCCATTTTTCAACCACCTCTCTTCTAGCTGCATGCTGGGACCTGTAGTTCCTGCAGGCCATTCATACTAAAACAGAATTGCTGTGGCTGGCTCAGTTGTAGGCTGCATCTGACCATCTGGGTAAACGGTATTGACCGTATACAAATTGCCACAGTAATGGACTGAAATAAAATACAGGGCTATGTAAAACACATGGAGACATGTACAGTATCCTGTCTGTACCCCTTCAAACACCGATTCTCTGGTCTCAAAACTAATATCTTGGAGATAGCGCATGATTTTTAGAATCTGCTTTTCTATAGATTTCCTTAATTAGAAGGGAATCTTCAGGTGCTGAATCTTAAATCTCATTAAACTTGTACTTTTTGTTTACTTGCTCACCTGGTTTCCTCTCCTATTATGGCCTCCTGCAGTCTCAGGGTATATAAATCACTATGATTCATCCAAATAACGAAAAGGACCAATCAGAGGTTAACGTGCCTTTCTCTTATGGTACCTTGATCTTTGTAAAGTTATCTGATGGAAACTCATCGTTGTCTTTTTCTAAGATGTAAACAGTGAAGTTGCAACAAGTTTGTATTGTTAGT